ACGGGGCCCTGAGCAACCTGGTCTAGTTGAAAACATCCCTGCTCATTGCAGGAGGGGGTGGACTGGATGACTGATTAGGTCCCTTTCAACCCAAAGATTCTATGATTCTATAAAATGCTGCTGTAAAAGAAGTGAAAACACAAATAATTTATACCTTGTATTGTGCTTGAAAGCACTACAGTGGTCTAGCTCTACTTATACTTGCATGCTGCCAGCTAAAATAGTATCCTAAGTGGGTGTAGGAAAATAGACTTGTATTGATTCAAAATCAGGAGCTGAAGCAAAAACAGTGTCTCTGACTGAATCACCTTTCTTCTTTTTCTGTTTTAATTTCCTCACTGAGCATAACTAATCTCTCCTTAGCCTCACAGCACCGGCAAACATTTTTGTAGAGTGATTTTGCTCAAAAAAAGATGAGCTTTGTTAGCAACCTTTCAACTCCAACAATAAATTTCAATGGTACAATCAACAGAGCACAGTTTGATTTTCCATATTCAGAATGGACCAAATAAATAATAATTCAGTTCTAGGAAAAGCTGACACTAAAGCAGTAGGATACCAGTTATTTACAGCCCTCCTTCTCCTCTCTGAAAAGAATTAGCATGATGCCTGCCATCACCCACTTAAGACCATGGTCTTAGCCTTCTCTCCAGACTAGATTTCATCACAAGTGAGTATGTATACATAAGTGACACCATCACTCTGATATTCAGGAAAGCTTTTTCCCTATAAACAATGAGGTATATTTTGCTTACGCATCTGATTTTCCCAGTTATTGGATAACAGAGGTATATTATTATAAGTGAGGATAGACAAGCCTGAGTCTCAAATGGACTGATTGAATAATATGAGCTATAAATCAGAAAAAAAAAAAACAAACACAGAAAGTGCTGTCCTTTTCTTCCCTTCTCAAAGCTGTCAGCAACAGCATTTCATAATACTTTTGATATCCAAAACCATGTGGTTTTGGAAAATGTGTTTGTTTCAGGTGTACAAACAATTTTCTGCAGACCAGTTTTATGGGTCCAAAGGTTTTCAAAACAATTACTGTCCTTGCTAGGAGTAACACAAATGGATTCTCAAGCTTGCCAGACAAGGACACGATGCTCTATTTTGTGGTTTCAGGGTGTTAGCTTTCCCAGATGTCACTCGCCCCGCTGAGCTTCAAGGAAAGCACACTTTCACACCAATCTGATTCTAAAAAAATAAATAGGGAATTGAAGTTATTATACCCATCAGAATTCTATAAAACAGAAAACATTATATGTTTATTTAATGCTCCCAGTCACTTGATAGCTTCAAGTCACTGTGCACAAGGAAAACTCTCAGTGCCCAATAGCTCCCCAAACTAAATGACCTGCCAGTAACTGACTGATGGACATTTCAAAGAATCCTTCTGTAAAATGTGCAGACAGTACGAGAATCACCTCCAGCTCTTGATGCTGTCCTCTGTAAGCTTTCACCTCCTAAGTATTCGTACACAATTGAAGTTTCTTGCAGTTTGTTAACATTTGTCATAGACTATTATTATAGATTATTATTCATTTTATTCATAGCTATTACGACAGCATCTCAGAACTTCTTACTCATCATTCTACTAGTTTAGGTACCCTCTCGCTTGAGGCAGTTTGCAGCTCGCAATCTATAAAGTGGACCATTGAAATCACCAAAACATACTGACCTTAGTTAAAATCTAGACGCTGTAGTTCAGCAAAAAACAAGACAAACAGAAAGGATACAGGAAGGGTAATCCGAACATTTATGTAATTTCACTTATCTGGTGGAGGGACAACACATTTCTTTCCCTTGGAATAGTAATGATCACAGGAAAGACACAGTTTTCATGCTCCAGGACTGTATCTCATCATGGGTATACACTATCCATTTTGGACTTGTTGAGCTACGGACAGCTGTTAGTCAGACACTGAGAACCTACCCACAAGGCACAGCTGCCATGAAACGTGATGTACTTCTCGAGGGAGAGAAGCTTCAATCTCATGACCGATAGGGATAGCTGTTAAAGGGATGTAACTTTCTTTACAAAAGGATATTGTGCCATCAAGGCTGGGCAGAGCTGACTATTTGGCATAAAAACACAGTGCATCATAATAAAATCATTTAAAACAGAATCTGTGAAAAAAGAAGAAAGAAAACAGTCAATTAAGCCCCTGCAAACAGATTTGGGATCACAAGGATGAGTTTTCTTTCAGCTAAAATACCTTATCATCCCTCTGCAGATAATATAGGGGTCTTTTTGCACTTTGCACGCATTAAGTATGAAAATGGGGAATGAACAATTATGAGGTGAAATACTAAGCTTTTATTGTTGTCTGCATGAATTTTATTGCACTTACATTAACATGCATTTGCCTGAGTCAAAGGGAAATTTGGCACAGAAAACAAACGCCACCGGTGCTACAGTGAAATATTCCGATATACTTCTCTTACAAGCGTAGAGATCTTAGCATAAGAAGAATCAGGTCTGCCACACCTAGGTACCTAAGAAGGGCTGCTGCATTTGGCTTTAGGGAACTACAATACCAGACAGCACATTTAGTATATACTACATAGGGGAAGGCAAATAATTTAATTCTTTGCTGATTTCCTAGCAATAACTGTGTATTGTAATATTACATCATTGCTTCCACAGTGATTTATATATGAAAATATATTCCAGTTGACAAAACTCACCTCCAGAAGGGTGGGACTTTTTCTTTGTATAATATCCAGAGCAAAATGGATTTTAACTGTTCTTAATTTAAAGGAATGGAGAAACTAAAAATTCGATTTTCCAGCATTCTGATCTTCTATATCCTAAAAATAGCTTTGTTTGTTAATTGTGATGTTTTGTATCCCATTAGGATATAGATATAATCTTGTCATTGGATGTTTTGGGGAAAAGTTTTAAAAGATTTAAAAAACAAATCATTTTAGAAAAATGCATAATACATGCATACTACGAATAATAAGCTTGAGATTATATACTTGCAGGCTTAAAGAACAACATTCTGCTTGTAATCCTAATAAACAGGTATCTATGTAAAGGATCATTTTTATTCTTAAAAGTGGTTAAAACACATACTGTAAAGGGATTTCTGTAACTTTCAATTCTTCCACCATTTATGGACCACTATACGGGTTTCTGCAATATTATGAGGTCAGTAACAGATTAACTGGATTTAAGAACACCTTTGAACATATACTTCTTAGACATCTGCAATGCAAAAAGAACTTGCTAAAGCGACGTTATGTAACTTAATATAAAAGTCTCTGCATCATTTTATCATAGTTAGGAGGAATTTTTTGTGCCTGACTTTTTAAAAATTAAAATACTTATTAACAGTAAGTCAGCAAATATCTATATCCCTAGATGTAAATTCTCTCTTCTCTTTACACTAATTAAAAGCAGCCTTTTAAGTGCATTCTTGGGATTTGGCCCATGGTGTGCTGAGTTGTTCTCTTTTGAGTAACAATTCTTCTTTCCCTGCACATGGGAAAGCATCACAAACACATAATTTAAATTGTGATACTTTAAATGTGATATGGATATGAAAATTTGGGAATACTTATACTAGCATAATCCAATGGCTGGAGGTATCAAGTTATTAAGTGTTAAGTATTAAGCTATTAAGCTATCAATGATTAAGTGACATCCAGAACAAGGAGTACCATTATCATGGGGTGGTAATGCATGCTCTGTCTTGGCCTTACAGTTGTGCCTAATTAAAGTCATGACTAGCGGTCTGGCACCTTTTGAGATTTTGCTGTTCTACTCTGAATCGACAGTACAAATACCATACAGTGGGCTAGGAGTGGATTGTTCTTTAATTCTGAATTTCCTAGGTTTTCTCAGGGTTGTTTCAGAGCAGTGGATAGGTCTTATTCTGGGAAAAACCACCACTAGCTGTTTTTCAAAGTATCACATTGCGGTGTTCCTCCAGCAAGACCATCTTATGCAGTATTAATAACACAGCCTTTGTCATGTAGATACCTGTTGCTTCATTTAAAGCTGCTTCAAGGCGCATAGTTTCAAGAAAGTGCTCTAAAATTTTCTCGGGGGTTCCTGACATCACAATATACCTGAGGGAGGGGAAAAAGCAGTTATTATCCCATAGGCAAAAGAGCTAATCAAGAAAGAGTTGCATACCAGTAAGAAGACCAGGACTGGTGAGTGCCAGAGCACAAATACCTGCTCTAACCAGAACCTCTGTGTAGCTTAGCACAAAACCAGTCACAGTCTTTGCTGGCTTCCTCCCTGTCAAATGGGAGCAATAACTCTCTCCACCTTGTCCATGGAGCATGAGATGACAGACAGCCCCCTCCCTGCACAAGTACTCCAGTGTACCACCACCACGGTTATACCGCAATCAGCAGAGCTGCACTGGTGCAAACCCGGTGAACTGCAATCAGAAATGCTTCTCCACTGAGAATAAACATCTCAGTAATGATAGCAATTCACAGTCATCAGAGGGTCTTAACAGACTTACTATGAGGATGAAAGGAGAACTGGTGTGTATCAGTGTCAGAGCAAGGAACCAATTTCCTTCAGCACCACTGAGAGGGGTTGGTCTGAGAAGATGGGGGCAGATAATGAAATAGCACACTAGATCTTCAAATTTGTGCAATGCCTTAGATAGCTGAAGTAAGTAAGTTTTTCAAGTGGATAAACTTAGGATTGTACCATTTCTTGGAGTCAATTTATGGAAATGAATTAGTGCAATAGTCAGATTTTTCTGCTTCGTGCAAAAACACTGGCAAGATTTTAAGTACCAGCAGACAGGATACCATAGGATATTGCTAAACTTGTCCTGTCGTCTTTTTTTTCTTTCCTTGCAGATGAGATTTTTTTTACCTTTCCTTCCATTCTTTCAATCTTTGCATCTTTTTTTTCTTTTTTTGGAATCCAACTGATAAAGTATGAAACTTAAAAAAAAAAAAATAAAAAAAGAAAAAACCCCGAGAAGTGAATATACTCTGCTCCTGCTGAGAAATAAGTGGTGGAGCTGAGCTCCTGGGAGCTCCTCCTCACTTTGAGTGCTGACCGTCACAGTTCTTTTACCTGCCAACCCCTTTGGAAGAACTGTATTGATGTCCCAAGAACACAAACACTTGTTAAGCCAGCGCACATTCTCGCAGAGATACTAACCAAGTATCTAAGTGAGTGAAGCAGAGAAATCACAGGTTGCTGCACTCTGAATATGAAAGTGAAAATGAACAGTGAAGCGACTTGCAGGGCTGCTGAATTCATCCTGCATGAGTGTCATCACCCATAAAGAGTTAGATCTTGGGAGTGAGAACTTCAGAGCTAGTCCTTCGAAGTGAAACTGTCACTGTTTGAAAGCATGGCTCGGGGAGCTGCGTAGGAGCTATGTCTCCTCAGCAGAGGAGGCAACAGAATCCAAACTGCAGCTGAGAGGATCTGCTCCCAACGCAAAGCTTTCTCCAAGACTAAGATGAAGAAAATTAGTTTCTTGGTTGACTGGATATTTAAGGGAACAACTTTGGGATGCAGAATATTTCTCTAGTGCAAATGCTACATACCTGCTTAGGGCACAAAGCCCAAAGGGCAGCTCATCTGAAGAGATACCAGAGATGTAAGCTACCCAATTAAGGGCAAAGCAGCAAGCCTTTATGAAGAGGTCCCTGTTAAGCTTCTCTTTTGGGCACAGTGATTTACAAAAGTACTGAACACTCAGCCAACACATTCCAGTAACACATTCTGGAAATCAGAATGCACCAGTAACTTTGATTTGGACTCTCAAACATAAATGTAGCCACTTACTCTATTTACTAACAAAAGAAACAACAGAAATGTCGTCTTCAAAACCAGTGAACGCACTTTAAAAGATTTTCAACAAAAAGACACTTCCAACACACTATTAACAAAGTAATCTGCTGAAAAGCAGACAGTGAACTTTCAAGGTAGCTTCCTCTTTTGAGTAGCATATGTCTATTTGTCATTGTTATCAGCAAAAGCTCATCAGCTGGCACATCAATAGTATCCAAAAGTTGACCAAATGCATAAAATATTTACAGAAAGGGAATTCTGAGCTTTAGCTGAAAATATTCCTGGAATGTAAGCTCTAAAATGCAGCCTAACTTAACCAGGGACCATAAATGTCTCTAGCCATTTTTATCTATTTCTGAACAAGAAAATGCTAAATAATACAAATAATGCCAGTGCAAAGAGTTTCCAAGAAAGGTAGTGTTTGAATTAGCTTTAAATGAAACTTTCACTTTTGAAAGCATGAAAAATATATCAGACCCAAGAAAATGGATTTAAATCTATGTCCAAGTTGCTGTGCACTGCAGCTGCTGATGCAAATCCACCGGCTGCAGTCAAGTTCCCCTCATTTAGACACTGAAAAAATTGTTGCAAGAGTACATGTTTTCCTGGCAGCATAGTTTGTTTTTCTAATAGATTGAGTGAAAGATGAAATGGCAGTTTCTGTAATATATGAAATGTGTATATAAAATACAAGGAATAGTTTATTCAACCCTTCACAGATCTTTACAAATCTTTATATTGACTTATGCAGATAAAATAGGTATATGAAATCCCAGATCAGATAAAAACTCTACCCAAAATATCTCACAGTAAATTAGCTCTTTCTTTGAGAAGAAGTAAGATCCAGGGTAAAGGATTCAAAACTTCTTGGTGCTTATTTTGTTGGAGTTGTTCAAGCATTTCTGAAGAAAATTGTGCATCCATTTGCAAATAACACATTTACAAAGCCTTTAGGGGTTTTACCAACATTTGGAATGATAATAGCCTCACTCTACTCTTATCACAGTAGTATCCAAACAGAATTGTGCTTTTTCCCTTTCAGCAAGAAAGTAAAGAATATATAATGAATATTGTTATTACAGTGCAAATCTATTCTGTCAGATAAGCTGTGCAACTTTCATTGCATGAGATCTTCGTTTTGTATATAAATTGTACCTAGCAAACTCTTATTAGAATCCAGAGCTCAAAATCCAAAATGAAAATATCTGTACTTAACAATAAAACAATGTATTTTCCTCATGTCTTTTACACAGTAGCTCAGCTTAATAGGGTTTCAGCATTCTCCATGTGCCGCCTATTTAGAAGCTATTACATGAGATAAGTATTTACAGCAAGATCTTTAGAGAATTATTGTGTAAAGACATAAAACTGGTGTGCTGCTGGAAATGGATATATTATCCAGTATGGGGCATGTGATCAGCTGATGATTAAAAAAAAGAAAACTTTATATGCACTGCATTCATCCATAGAAAGGGGAAATATGCTATTGTTTGGATAATAATACCATATAAAAAGGTTAATCATTGTCTGACATTTGCACTATTGAATGAAAACATACTTGTGCTGAGGCTGTGAATTTCCTTGATTAGAAACTCTGTTTCCTGCTGGGATCTTCTCCAACACCAAGACATCTTGGTCATGTTCTTTGAGTCTTACTGTATTTGCTTCCACATCCTGCAAGACAAGTTACTTTTAATGAAGTAATTGCACCCGATTTGGCTGATTAGTTACTCTGAAAACGTGCATGACTTTCAAACACAAAAGACCCAGGTTGGTTCTTTTCCCCTGTATTTATCTATCTTTATTCTGCTCTTCTCACAGGCAGAATCAAGAGGCAAGCACTGGCACTGGGGGAAGAGGCAGAGAATTGTGAGAGGAATTAGAGCAAGAACCATGAGAAAAATCTCTGGCTATGGCAAAGGAAAAAAGAAAAAAAACAAAACAGAGTGCCCCCCCCAATTTCCATATGTAGTGTAATCGCTATCCCCACTTATATGTGAACATTATTATCTTTGAACATTATTATTGGTTGGCAAATTCTAGACCACAGAAATGCAAAAGACAAAAGATTCCATTTGGTCCCACTTTCATGGCAAGCTAGGAACACAAAAAGAGGACAGATTATTAATATATTCTTTACTAGATCTTCTAGGCTGTCACATGTCTGTTCTGCAATTAGGGACACTTAAACAAGCTTATCAAGATCAATACATCCACAGAAATAAGACAGACTCTAGAAAAACTTGGGTATCACACTGGTGGGGCAGCCGGTCCCACTCTTACCCTAAGGATCCTGTTGAAGTCCTCCTTGTCTACTCTCAAGAAGTGGCAGTTGTCTTCACGCAGAACAATGGATGCTGCTCTGGGAGCATCATTCACAAGCGCTAACTTGCCAAAATCATCTCCTTCATGTAGAGTACATACCACACCCTGCACAGAGCAAAACATTTACATGCAGAAACCCATCATTACTCTGGATTCTATTGAAAGTCCTTGTACAAACACCGGACTTCACAATCAAATACCAAAACAAGTCTATTTGGCAGAAAATCAACAGCCAAAATAATGACTAGGAAACAATACTTGATAGCTGGTTATTACTATTACTAAAGAAAGGCAAGAATAGAAAAGAATTGGCTTGTTCTCTGAAATTACATTCAGCTTGAAGGACTCTTCTAGCTCTGCTGAAGACAGAAAGTTGTTTTTTGTTTTCTTATTTATAGAGGCCCTAAAAAATAAGATCAAGTTTGCAGAAATAACGTATAACACCACATCCTCATCTGGTGTAAATCAGCAGTGCTCCATTTACTTCAATTTACAGTAACAGAGGATCTGCCCCACCCACTTATATAAAAAATGTAGCTAAATATGGGTTATTTAGGAACAGACTTAGCACCAGGGCCTCCATGCTAGATTTTGGTGAAATGCTTAGGGTGTTCAGAATAGAGGATTCTCAGTCACTGAATGAGAAATCAATAAGGACGGAGGGATTTTTAAAGACTCAAGGGACTGCTGTGTACCAAAGTCCTATTTTTTGCCTTGAAAAAATCTCTCTCATAAACATCAAATTTAATAGACATGCTTTTCAGTCTATAGCCTAACTAAAATGAAGAGCTGGCATAAAGTTGGGAGGATCCAACCTGAGAACTACTAGCCACAAAGCAGTACTTCTGTCAGACATCCCTGACGTGTGAGGAAATCTAGTCATAGAAATGCAAGAGAATATGGTGGTAAAGGGACAGGGCAAAACGCCCCATGAGATGGAAGTCTGGCAATTCACCAAGTTCCAGCAAATGACTTTGTCCTAAAGATACTGATGTATCTCTGTTGAATTATATTCAGAAAGTGTGTAACATATCCTGAAATTATACGGCAATCAACTGGAAGTATCATCAGTGAAACCACTGGATCATTTCTTAATAAAATTACATTCGTTTCCTCAGACAAAGCAATTTTGCTCTAAATTAAACTGTATTCCTTCAAAGTTTACTCTTACAATTTCAATAATAAGAAACATATAAAAAGGCTTCTGAAAAAAATACCTTGCCATAAATGACTACGTTTACTGATCCCTTTAGGATAATGTACCAAGAAGTACCTTCTTCTCCCTGATTAAATACTACAAGAGAGAGAAAAGATTTTATGGTGAAAATAGAGTTATTCAAAATATAAATGGGCCAGATTCTGCACTCAGTAAAATTCAAGGTAACTCTATTGCAGTCATATTAACGTCTACCTTGAAAAAGGGCATACTATGATTTTAAAAGCAATTGCCTTCAGATTTTAGAAAAAAAAAACCCCACACCCATATAGTAGTTATTTTATTTCACTGATGTGAAAGTTGCTTTCATTTTCCATGACAATTGCAACAACTACTTTACGTACATGTCAGGTTATCAATTACTAATCAGCACACAGATTTGGATCCCACGAGTCGCACCATGTTCTAACCCAATTCCCTAGTGGCTAAGAATTTGACATTCATTTGCTAAAACTTCTCAGTATAAACAGGTCTGAGTAATCTAACATTTTAAATCCTTTATTTTGTACAGCAAGATTTTTTTAATACAAGGATAATATTAAAATACATTTTAAATAGAGATTGGTCTGATCCAAAATTCTAGACAGAAAAACACCCAAATTGTAGCTGATACATATGTCCAACCAAAGATACAGAATTAATTTTGGTACTGTGCCTGCAATAGGCAACAGACTAAGCCAACGACTATTACCCCAGGTTTTAAACACTGAGTGACAGTCAAGTTTGAAGAGTGCATCCAAGTTTTGCTCTTTTCATTTAAACATTAAGAATTTAAATGTTCTTGCCACAGATGAAAAAGAAGATCTGACAGGACTCCATTTACTTACAGACCGTTCCTGCTTTGGGATGTGACTCAAAAATGAGGACACCTGCTAATTCTCGCTTTACCTTAAAATAAAGAGAGAGAAGTTACAGTTTTTATATGTATATTATTCTTCCTGGTGAGAGGAAGTCACACAATATACCCCAGTCGCTGCTTTCCTTCCCTCTGCACCATTCAGCACTCATTCAGTCACACAGTCAGACAACCGTCTCCTTCACGTGATGTCCTCTTTCCTACTGACTGGCTTTACAGAACATGAGCCTCTACATTTCCTGGCTCCAAACAGCTCAGACAAGAACATCTTTAAGATACAGGTCTCCACATCTTTCTTCAAATGTACACTGTGAAGCCATCATTAACAATTAATATTAACATGACGGAAAACTTCAAATGGTAATAGCTGATTTATTACAGAAGATAGCTAGCAATTGTCAATTACTCCATGGGGCTCTGCGGTACTCCTGTTCTTCCCCGAGAAATCAGGACCCTGCCCCTTACCGATGTTAAGTCTGGCCACTTCTGCTGTGTCAGGCTGTGAGGCACAGCCACCTGGGCCTGCTGAGAGCTCCCCAGGCAAAACGTCCAGCTCACTACCTCTTCCAGGAGCTGGAGAACGTGACACTGCCCTTGGTGTCAGCCTGCTCCTCACTGGGTTTGTACTGCTCCGGCGTGATTAGCTCTTAGGACTAACTGGGCAAGTTGCCTCTAGTGAGACGCCATTTACAACAGCTTTTCTCACTGTAAACGCTGTTAGTGTTACTTTCACAAAATAGTAGCGGCACTGGGAACCTCATATTATCCTGAGTTTCCCTGTGTGCTTTATGTCTCTCTTCATACAACTGCAAGTCTCCAAGGATTTGGAGGCCAATTTCCAAGACGTGGGATTCTTGTTTTCAGAGGATGTCAGCTGGCGACAATCCATGTTTCAGAGGTACTACCATGTAACTTAACCGTGCCAAATACAGATCAAAAACTAGCTCCAACAAATATTTAGTAGTAGTATTTTCACACCATTCTCCCAACTGTTTAAACAGTTAAAAAATGGAAAAAAATTTTAGGCCATGAAGAAAAACTTGGGGAGAAACTCTCAAATTCTGGACACAATCCAGATGAGAGTCTGGTGGCAGCATCTCCTAAGATGGGTGGACAAATTCAGGTTGTGATGTCCTAAAGGCACCCACCAAACCTTTGCTCAGGCACCAGGCATAAACATACCACCTCAGCCACCTCTCCCTCTTTCCTGATAGCCAGTATAAAGCACTGTCTGCAGTCTGAAGAAGAAGAGGGATAAACAGAGGTGTTTGGACAGATGTTTTTAGTACACTGACCAGTGACCATACCCACAGGCCCGTGATTTCTATAACAATTAGCTCACCAAATTCTTTTATAACCTCTGCCTGAAGGCAATGATGCTTTTGTAAGGACAGGAAATACAACCCCATTAGCACTGTTCTGCACATTGTAGAGAGCGTTCCTCTCCGTGTACGCCCTGAGATGTCTTCTCGGTTGTTTCAGTCATTTGCCTCTGCAGTGAATGAATCCTCTTGATAAAGCCAGGAATTGATTTGTATTACACGATTGTTTTTCATTCATACATTAACTTCACAGGCTTCTCTAGCAGGGATTAGTTCACCACCACGCGACTTGAATTTTATCCATTTTACTTCCTGCTGCTCGTGGCATATCTAGAAAACTTATTACTTTAGGAATTATGCCTTCCTTAAAATGAATAAACATTCCATTTGCTTTCAATCCGATTGACCATTAATCTTCTGGTTCATAGGAGCAATGCTGTCTGTTGCTCCTCTGAAGATTTCCCCTAAACTAGTCAAGGTTTTTGTCCTCTGCTTTAGTTCATGCTGCATATAACAGGCTGGCATTTCCAAATTCTTACTAAAAACATGGAATCAATTGCAATTCTACAAAATGCCAAGTATTTCTTGCAGTTTGTATCATTTGCCATACTTGTTCTATATGCTACTTGCTGTGGATTCTGACCTCAAGTCTGAATTTCTTCTGAGCTGGAAATATTTTGTGTTTCAGATTTTTTTGTTCTGGGTTATGTATGCAGTATCAAGAGTGTTCTCCATTCCCTCTCAGTATCTGTATATCTTGGGTAGTTCCTTTTGTTTGATTTTAAAAGGGTAATTTCTGGATCTCACCAAGGTCTTCCTTTAAATACTTTTTTCCTACATCCCAGAGATGCTTAAGGATTTTGCCTGGCTGTTCCCTACTAGTTGGTTCAGCTACCAACTCTGGATGCATATTCTTGTTGAAAAACATTGCTCAGGTGTTACATGTTTGCAGAGAGTACTATCTTTCTGAAATGCAGCTTCCTAATTAGCTGCATCTGTCCAAGTTAGCTGAGAATTACTGAAAATATCAAGAGCCTCCAAAGAAGGTATTGTCAAATGTAAATCTACTTTCTGACTGGCTTCCTTTTTCTGAAAGCACCCACATCTTGCTGCTACCACGTAAAGTGCTATTTAGCTTGTTTCAGCTGCCTACGCAGTGTGTCAATGACGGTGAGACTTTAAACAGTTGTGTTCTCTCCTCCAAGCATTTTCTCCGCTTAATTTATTCTTGGTTCTCCGCACTGTTCTTGCCCACTCAGAAAGAAGGTGTCTGATGAGGTTTCCTTCACTCTAGGACCAAACTCCAACCAGCCAGCACTGCACAGCTGTGTAGCTGTGCAACTACACCTTTCTGCACCCTGTAATTCCTGCTCCTCCTAACTGGTTCCAGCCAAGACTTCTTACAGTTCAGAAATCAGACATCTATTCTGCAAAATTCAGTAGTGGCACAGACCCAGGTGTAAGGTCAGATTGCATGCATCTTAATTTAAACTTAGATATGGACCCAGATGGAGGCACCTGTGCCAACTGCATGAGGTAGGGGCTGTGCAGGAACACATGAAGAGAATTACATCTGATATCCAAAAGACAATCCACATCTGGGTGGTCCTCACAGGTGGGAATAACTTCTTTGCATAGAAAGTATAAATGGAAAGAGTTGTAGGCGCTCCAATTCCAATAAAGCACCAGATGTCAAAATTCAACCTCCCTTTTGATGATGAGTTATATTTTTAAAAATACTTACTGTGGTAGAAAGATGAGATAAGGCCTTAATGTGAAGAAGTTCTTCATATATAATTTCTAAGTCATCTACAGTTCTCTGGCCAGGCCTACAGAGACAAGATAAACAGGACAGCAAAATGCAAGAAATGCCCAAAATAAATGCAGAAGTAAAAAATAAATGCAGAAAAGTACAAAGCAACACAGATGCTGTTGTACTGTCTACTGAAGGGTACATCCCCACTAAACAGGGATTGAACGATGGTTCTGGCTGGAGGAGTGAAACATATAAAGGATGGGAGCGCTACAAAACGACACCTGAATGACACCGAGCAGCAGCCATGGCAACCACCTTACAGAGATCCTGATTAGGCAGCTTTCCTGATGAAATCAAGTGCTCTATATGTAAAATGGTCACATAAATCAGAAATGGTACATAAAGATCTGTCCCTTTCAAAAGGACTCCGGAGTGTGGGGCCTGCACTGTTTTTTACACGCGGCACTAATTACTCGCAGCAAACAGCCGGTAGTAGTGGTTTGTACAGGCGCGTGAATTTCTGCTGAGCAAACTGGAAGAGGCAGCAGCGCATCTTGAAGGACCGTAAACAACTGCTATAGAGATAATGCTGAGTGCTGTTGTTTCGCCACAAAGGTAAGAAAGAACCACTCAGTAGTTTCAAATTGAGTGTGGGGCCTGCACTGTTTTTTACACGCGGCACTAATAGTAATTAGTGCAGCAAAACACAGCAAAAACGCAGCAAACAGCCGGTAGTAGTGGTTTGTACAGGCGCGTGAATTTCTGCTGAGCAAACTGGAAGAGGCAGCAGCGCATCTTGAAGGACCGTAAACAACTGCTATAGAGATAATGCTGAGTGCTGTTGTTTCGCCACAAAGGTAAGAAAGAACCACTCAGTAGTTTCAACTTGAAAAATACAAGAAGCTGCCATTAATAAAAAGCATGCACTGCTGAAGGAATCATCCTCCTATAGCACAACGAGGAATGAGGCTGCCACTGTGACTGAAACAATTGCATTTCTGTAGTCTACACACTGGAAAATTTCCTGATTGCTAAAAAAGGCCACAAATACTCGGAGGACTGCAGCATGTCAGAGATGCTTTGGAGAATATAGTAAATAGTACCCATAAGAAGGAGTTGTAGGAGCTTGTAAGTAACTCCTAATCTAACAAGATTCTCTTCAGTTAAAGTGTCCAATAGAACTTTATTTTCTAAAAGGACAAATTCTCCTGTGATATAATTTTAGACAGCGCATTGGAGTTACATACAGACACGTGGAAAAAATCCTTTAAATCATTATCCCAAGTTACTTTTATAAGACTAAGTCATTTCAAACAACATGTTTTAGATCTGTGGAAAGCAGAATATAAGTAATCAAATCAACGGGCCAAGAACAGAAGAAAAGAGCAACCTAGTCCAAAGAAGGGAGAGAGGATAAATTTAAGATGTGAGGAAATGAGAGGGATACAGGAAACCCAGTGCAGGGGCAGGAGTATCAGAGGAGCACATTTACACCCTCGCATTAAGAACAGCCTAGTGCGCAGTTCCAAACCCCCTGTCTGCAGTGTGTGGTGTCAAAAGAATTAACAGCACAGTTGAATCTTTAGACAGCCTTAATGAAATGTCACAATGAACCTTCCTGACGTAAGTTTTCCTCCTAAAATGTCAATATTACAGGAGACTAGAGGATCAGGTAAGTCATCTAAAGAAATACAGTGCTCTACAGGTTTTCTGCCTAATCACCTCCTAGTTTAACAGTCTGTCTAAATCATGTGTGAGGTAGAGGGAGTACCCAGCAATTGTGTCACCCTGGAGTTATATCGCATCTTTTTGCAAAAGAAGTGTGACGGAGACTTCTTTTGGATGAAGGAAGTACTGAAGAAGTCACAGAAAACGTAAGAACATCTGACATCTTCTCTGCTAAGCAAGCTGTATTTTTCATCTGTTGTTCACTTACCAATGACATGCATTTATTATCATCCAGATTAAAGACCAATTTAGACATAAAAAGTTTTGGATGAAATTATTCTTTTCTCATACAAAATGGAATAAACTGCTAAGGGAGAAACAGAAACTGGTTTGGTACTACTATGCCCTCTAGTGACTCAAAATACTCTTTACTATTTCTAAATCTGGCTTGAAATTATAAAGCTTCCACTCCTGGTGATTTATGTGGGCAGTATCAGCTTAATTAAGTACAGAATAAAGCTAAGTCAGTACTAGCTACCTTTCACTGGAGATTTAAGAAACACAGGGTAAGGATTTTAACAAATAATACTTCCCATAGGAAGTAACAACTTTAATTTTATTACATGCTTGCAAAACCAGCATGTCTTGGAAAACAGAAAACATACTGTAACAAATTAACGGATTTCTACATAAAATGAAAATATAAAAGGATGATGACATCGAGAGGACTGACAATCTATAGTAGATGTACCCAGTCTTTACTTCTGCTTCTGCAGATATCACGTGGAGAGATATTAGGCATCACTGCTTCTGTAAAACCTGCGTGGTGACCCACTGATGTTGATTTGTAGGATCCTGCTGTGTAAAGACCTAGTTTCTGCAGGGGACACATTCTAACAGCAATAACTGGTTATAGACAGGATAATAAATGGAATAGGTAGAGAACGAGGCTACACATTAACGGACAGGAGAACTCAGGTGATATTAAGTGATCAATAAAAACTGTTCAGTGTTCGGAGAATTTATCAAGGTCAGAGACACTGAGCTTCTCTGTGACTAGGATGTTGACAATAACATAGTACTTTGCCATTGATAAACCCCGTACATACAAGCGATATCATTGTTTATTTTTATCACACAGCTAACCAGAAAATTCTCAGATAATAAGAACAAGAGAAAAGATCAGAGACACCCTACCATTGTGTTTATACATCAAATAAGCATGTATTTCCAGAGTACAAATTTTGTCTTCAAGTACCATAAAGAATATAGAGGAGACATGAATAATTTTACCCTCTACCTGTGTCTCGGTGTGAAAGTGAATGCATGTTCACTTACTCTGGCACAGAAGCTAATGATGTAATCTTCGTATTTGAATCAGTGCTCCTTGATTAATTCCATAAATACTGTTTACCACGTATAATACCCGTAAACATCAGTGAACTGATACGCGGAAAGATAATCTGTATTTCCTGTCCCAGGAATAACACTTGGTTTATTAAATGTCATTGGCAGGAAACTCCACCAAGGACTATGGAACTTAATACAGTCTTTATAGAGAAATCCAGTACGGTTCTTAGTAACAGCTGGGTGGAGTATCTAAATAAAAAATTTTAGGAACAAGAGAATAACTATATCTTGCTTAATTTTTATAAGACCTTCAAGAAGCTATAGATCCTTAGAAGTAATTAAATTGTTATTTTATTATATATAGTTTTTGTGCTGTTTACCATGCTTAGATTTGTTTTCACTTCCTCTCCCTAGCATCCTGTCGAGCTTACTTCTGCAAGTGACACTAAAATTCCACTGATCATATGTGGAATCAAACATTTTGTATTGAGAAAAAAATTTGCTGAGTGAAGTCACCAAGAAATTATATAACACAGATTTATTGTTTCAGTCATATTGCTAAGTTACTGTAGTCTAGAGTATTAAAAAAGAATATAATCCATAACATCATCTGCATTAAATACTGCTGTCTGATGAATATCATTCTCACTTTAAAGACTCCTGTTATTGTTGTGTTTAGCTTTGTATTAATAGCATCCTACTTAATTAGGGTTTACCATCGTTAGCTATATCTGAACACCATTAAAATAAAATAAAAATAACTAGAAAGATGTTTTCAGGATGTATGTTCATACTGAAGGATTGAAACGCTTGTACAGAAGAGCCATGTTAATTCTACAGTATTTTTTCCAGGGACTCGCTCAAGGTCTGCACCTGTGCTCCAGGCATTACAAGGAGCAGAGAGCTGTGTTTGCTACTCACAAAAAGCTATTTCACATTCACAGTGTATGTGTTTCCAAAGGAAAAAAAAACACCCAATAGCAACAAGAGCCTGCCAAAAATTTCCCTGAGCTCTATTCTGTTTTTTAAACTATAGAACATTCTTTCACAGTTTGACAGTTAAAATGCTGCAGTTAATGTAATAAACAGAGAATTTTTTAAGTCGGCTGTCAAAACAAGTGACACTTTTTGCTAGAGATTTTCAGATTTTGAACAATAGAAAGTACCTTTCAAAGCAACAGCTTCATTACACAATCAAATTCTCAAAGTAATCTTCTCATCAAAGAATATTGTCTTATTTCTTCCAGGGTAATTATCTGAGTTCTGCAACCTCTCTGGAAATGGTGACTATTATAAAATGCAGCTGTGTTGGTTTGAAAATTGTGGGTCCCTGCTCAGGTCAGCTAGAGCCAGTGTCTCTGAAGCCCTGACAATTCCTTGAACTTTTGGCAGCTGTAACGGTGTCTAGTCAAAACTAGCAGGACTCCGAGGATTCATATAGATTTTAATAGCTTTGCTACAGCTCAGCCCAGGTTGGATTTTCAACTACCAAAATCATAACGCATGTAAACCAAATACTAGAACAGTAGTTAATATATTGCCTGACAGTACAAGCTTGCTTCTATGAGCAAAGGGCAGCAAAAATAAGCACTTTCAGGGACAGGGATAGGGAAAGATGTCAGATGTATGTCAGTCTTGAGAAAACCTCTTTCCCCTCACTATATTGCATGAAAAATCTCCTATGAATATTCTTTCAGGTGATGCTGTGCAAGGGATGACATAGAGGAGAGAGCAGTACTTTCCACAGCATCATTTCAGCCTTTCAGCTCTCTGCAAGGAGTGTGGATGATAATCAACATTGATCCTGCCAGGGTAAACGTAGCCTGGCTGCTCTGAAAGTCACAACAGAAAGCAAATGGCAGCCAAAAACCATGATAACCCAAGGGGGCAATTTTCCAAGAGCCAGCCTGCTCAGTCAGCCTGAGGCAAAGGAGATAGTGCAGAGGTGCAGGGTCAGTCACAGCACACATAGCACTGCTCACGGTCTCCTGATGACTGGCGTCTGCTCAGGGATGCAAGAGGCCCTCTTTTGATCTTCAGTGGAGAATGCATAGGACATCTCTCTGAGGAGAAAACACCTCAGTTCCCTGACACCATATGGGTTTATGGAAGCACCGTGCTCCCACTCTGGTTTGTCTATGCATTTTCTGTGACAGGGAGTGAGTGCTCCTTTGGTTGTGTTTGGCTAGACCTCTAATGAAGAGAGAAAAGAGAATTTGTACTTTTAAAACTACTGCTGCATGGCAGTGTTACTGATTTTTATAAGCACAAGTATCTGATCCAGCTTTGTGTGCTTGTCTTTCTTGAACTGACTCTTACAAGTAAACCTTCAGTGAAGATGACCTTAAGTAATAAATTATTGTCAGTGTGCTTAATTAGCAGTAAAATATGTCTTCAGTGGCCCCTAAACACTACCTGCAGAATGAAGAAGTTGCCTTCAATGGAGGGTCAAACAGAGCTTGTACTGGTTGCTTTGAAGTCACTTATAAAGCTGCCTGTAAAAAAGGCCTTTAGCAGAGTTTTCAGTGTGACCAGAATGTATTGCTGAACGGATGGTTAGCCAAGTGCTGAGTGAGAGGATGTGATCTGATAACTCTGAAAAGGGCAGGCAGAGGAGGCCTAGGTACAGAAAGCATTTTTTTTAATGTATTGATTTTATAACAATAAGAATGGATAAATATTCTTTATTTGTTGAGGCCACATCACCGAGCCGCATTTTACACCTTGTTATCAAACTACAACAGGCCAAGTCCAGCCTATCTTAACTCAATAAAGTTCCACCAAGGATGAATCTAATTAATGGCTGCCACTGATGACTGTAATTGAAAGGTACCTGCTATGCTGCCATCCCACCACTCCACTCACTCACAATAACCAAAAGCAGCAGAGTTAATTGAATGGCACATCTACACAGAAAGTGTTAATGGAGCAGGAATCTTCTATCACCTGCGACTTACTTTTGGGGAGACTCAGAAATTAAATAAAAACTCATAACGCAGCATTTTCCTGAAGGTGAGTATGATGGCATTGATGGCCTTTAATGATTATTCTCAACACACAGTTCAACTTATAAGCATTAATAAGGACTGGAAATTACTTAATATGGACTTAAAAACTTTAGAGGTTGAACTAACTGGCACTGAAGTGAAATAACTGGCCACAGGATGCCTGATAATAAATGTAGATTTCTCTTTTTTCCATTTCACAAGGAAGGCCCTTGTATAATATTAAACTCATTAATCTGCTTACGGTTTTCTGAGAATCATCCTCATATGAGCATCTGGCCCAATCTGAGACAGAAGCAGCATAGTGTCCTGTAGCTCCTCATCACACTCCTTTTTCTCTTCCTCAGTTGGCAAAGGGGCATCTTCACACTCATCATCCAAAAATCGATAAAATAAGTATTTGTCTTGGAAGTGGTGCTCCTGATCCACTGAAAACAACATATAAAACACTAAGCTCTCCTCACTGAAGTTAACCTTGTAGAAATCTGTGTAGCATCATATATGTCACAGATATATTAGTTAAGAAGGGAAAGCTACAGAGAAACTGCAAGAGTATGAAACACCTTTATTTCTCACATATGTCCAAGTTATGTAGCTTGGAGGGTACACTTTTAAACTGTGTACTACAAATACTTTTCAAAAGGCTTCTATATACTTCTATATATGTGTGTTGTGGGTATGTATACATACGTGTGTGTGTTTTTCTTACTAGGTCTGGTTTTGTTCTGTTTCAAACCATATCATTTAGGCAAACAATTCACAGTGGGAAACGGCTACATCACAAATTTCTACAAAGTGTTCTCTAGCATGAAGCCCTTGCCCTACATGTTTCAGATAGGGCTAAAAGGTAACAAAAGCATCTAAACTCTTTCTGATGTATTAGAAATGTACAGCACAAGATATAATCCCAGGGGCAAGTTCATTGACCTGTGTCCTGGTGGAAGAACTTAATGGAAAGACTACCAAGAGAAGACTTCTAAAGAGAGGCTATAATATGGCGAAGGACAAACCCTTGGCCTTCCAAGCAAGTTAGAGTGATGTTTTGAGTTGGAAACTGTGATGCAGCTTGCAACATCTTGCCCCTGGGAGTTCAAGGGAATATTTGGCAGGAATTAAAGCTGGAGCCCTCAGGGTAAGGAAGCAGTGGAAACAATCTGTCTTCTCAGTGGAAATTTCTTCCTGAGATATGGGAAGCACAACAGAGCATAAACAGAAGTGTACTGTAATAGAGCTGCTCTTCTGAACGTAATAAAACTATACATGCAAAGCTTCAAATATGAACACTGGTTTAGAAAGCTACCCTTTTGAGGGCTACAATATCCTGTTACCAAGTAAATCCTGCCAAATGAAAACTGAAAGTCAGTGTTAAAATACAGCCTGAAAACTAACATAAAATCCCAGATATCTGCACTGGAATATTTGGAGTGCTGAATTTGGGAACCATTCCAAAATCACTGAAAATCATTCTAAAATTATGTATTTGAGCAAACACAAAAGTTCACATTCACTTCCAAATGCTGCAAATCTTTGACGAAGATCAGTTTTGTGTATGGTAATGCACCTCTTGGTTTTGGCCTGAGTGTTATCCAGCTCTTGCGATATAATCACAAGCCAGTGGACTCCTAAGTATAACTAGTCATCATTACAAATTGTTCATTTACTTTTCAATATTCTCATAAGTTAGAAAGGTATATTGGTAGCAAAATTAATGTAATACAGTCTGTGTGTTGCATTTGCACTTACGAACAGGTTGCTCTGCAGCATTTCTTTCGGGCTCTTTTCTTTTTAATGAAAGAGATCTACAGAGGCACTGATGTCACACATTACCCATGTTTTCATCAAGATGCTGATTTTCTTTATCTTACCATGGTTAAGAACACCTTCTTCCAGCAATACTTGCCACATGCCGACAGCCTGGGTTCGTGAATGGACACAAGGACTTTGCTGCATCATCCAGTCAACTAGTTCTGTCCCCACACAGCATTGCCTGAAGGACAAATAGATAGAAATGAAAAGGCAGCTAGCCAAGAGAGTGATCACAGACAGTGTCTGTCAAGAACAGTGATCTCTTAAACATTGCATAACCTTAGTTAATTCTCGCTACAGAAAACACATCTAAGTGTATATGCTTGAAATACCAGTGAAGGTGTTCAGTTTTGTGAGGATCACCTCAGCAGAACAACAAGCGTTTTGGGAAATGCAGAGTTCAGAGGATTAGAGTGACTCTGTGCCAGCTGGTACAAAACTGTTGCACCAGCACCACAACCTCCAACCCAGATTTGAAAGGAAACCTCTGTATACCATGGGATAGCAAAAGCCTCACGCTTTTCAGAATCCTGCATGAAAACAATCATCTAACACTGTAAAAGCTTTGCCGATGACAACAGCCTCCACAGAAAGAGTGAGTGTTATGAGGGTGTTCCTCCATTTGTAACCAAACTCCAGCCACACTGTATTTGGGGACACTGGTTTGTACATCTACAGTGTTTCTGAGGTGCTCTGCTGCTAGATGCTTGTCACCTCACAGCTCCTGACTGACCCAGAGGCAGGCAACAGCATGCCTCAAGTTCTGGAGAATGCCCAAAGAGGGGGGAAAAACCAAAAAGCCATGTGGTCACAAAGTAAAATTCCTTGTCATAACACTCCCTAGCTCAGCAGAACAGAAGCAAATAAGCAATGTGATCAAAAACTTAAAAATCTATAACTGATCACACATAGAACAGACAGGAAGCTGGCTAGCCCTTCTAGACAGGGTCTCATGGCTCCACACTTCTTGCATCACTTTCAGAGACCAAGGAAATAGATAATACTAGAATTGCTGAAATTTAGCTTAAGTAATGCTCTTCCAATTAAAATCCCATCTTGATGACAAAAATTCCCCTCACCTGGATCCAATCTAAATTTTGGCATTTCATATTTAAAAAACCCCAGGACAGAAGAGTAAGAGTTTTTCCCAGTTATGTATAAGATAAAATGGTGCAGTTGTTTGGACCAGCATTCATCTTCATTTATCATATTTGCTCTTTTGTTCTTCTAGAACAATGATAATGTCATATTGTGATATATTCTCAGATCAACTCACAAGCTCCAAATACCTTGCATCATATTAAATACATTTTGGACTGAAATATGGAAAATCAATGCACTTATCTCAAAAGCAGATCACCAACGTATAGATTTACTATTTAGAAAAAGACATACTCAGAGATTTTAAACCAATTTTTATTTAAATATACTCTGAATAATGCATTCGGTATTTGATTGAAACACTAGACACTAAAACAAATCGATTGTTTCTTAAGCGAACAGTAGATAGATCCTGACTCCTTGAAGTCAGATTCCTATTCTACAAGTGCCATTGTTATTCCACTTCAGCAAGACAGTGCTGCCACCAGCAGGAAGATAAGAAAGCTTGGCAATACACTGAAAAAAAAAATTGTAAATAGAACAGAAAATCTACATAAGGAATGTTTCTCACCAGGTGAATTTTCAGAACTCAACACTGAGCAAGACCACCATAGCAATCAGAACAGTTACATAATATATTAATGAGCTTTCCTATTATCTCTTACTGATATATGAAGAGAACAGAATCTACATTTTAACTTGATATTGCACAGAATATTCCAGCTATCTATGCTATTAACTTTGGAAGAGTTTTTGTATGTGAATGCTCTGTTCACAATCATGGACTCAATTTCCAGTCAAATTACTTCAGAAAAGATTTACCAGGCCCATTAAAGACTGCATAACATCCAGACTCAAACAGCATCACAGAATAATTTCAGACCTTTTGAGACCTGCAAGTATGGTAAGGCATAAATCACAAATCAGAAGAATGCAGGCATAAAAATTCAGAGACCTCTATACAATCAGCTCACACACCTGTAAGTCTTCAGATGGTATTTACGATCTCTTATCATGTGAGGGGCTCTGGACAGAATTGTATTCCGCAAAATCTTTCCAGCTCTGAGGATCTTTTCTGAAGGAACCTTGGTGATCATGGAAAAAAAAAAAGGGACCAAGACACACAGATTTTAAACTTTCCACAATCTCTGTACTGCCTTCTGCAAAACAAAACACAAGTTCTCTTTTCCCTAAATTAAAAGTCCTTGCACAGATGCTTACTTTTGCAGAGCAATGTATTTGGGATTTTAAGTCTCACATACTTACGACACCTAACAAAAAGCATCACTTCAGCTGGTATGTATCACACTGTTGGAAATAGGAGTTATTTCCATTTGTCTAGCGGCCTGGCTCTACAGCACACCTATGTCCTATTACCTGTGTAATGGTTTTAGTAGGACGATGTGGGATGTGAGGTTCAATAAGAGGTGTCTGAAAAATAAAATGAAATTAAATACATTTTTAAAGGTTGAGCAGCAAAATAAAATAAAGGCTAAAATAAAAAACTGAACAAAGAAGCTATAAAACCAAAGAATGATGTCTAAGTCCAAGCTCTGCCGTGGGGATGTGAGTAGAAAAAGCTCTCTGAAGACATCCTGAAGACATACTTTGTTCTTAACGCTCAGCAAATTAAAACAGCGACATGACATGCGAACATGAATAAATAAATGCACGTTAAACTTTCTAAACTACTAATGAAGTGTGCAGTGGGCAAACATCACACCAGATCTGAGGCTAGGAGGGCATAGCTAGCTCTTCCGCTTGCTGCTCTTGACCCACCGCGGGCACAACAGCATTCCTCCACACGCAGCTGCCTCCACCATTCAGTCCCCCACCATGGAAACTCTCTCCTCCTTCAGCACCTTTTTCTATTCAGCTGTCTTCTCTCTTACAGCATAGCACGAGAAACAGGAATGAAGAAAAAGCTCTGCTCCCACTGTCTGTCTTTTCTAAACTACCATCGGGCCTAGCTGGCAACCCTTTTACAGCCGCTCTCTGAAATGCAAGACCACGCAGGCCACTCGCAGAGACCTGGGTAAGCACTTTCACAAAGGGGCTTGTGAAGGAAAAAGACAAAAGTAAAGCAGGTGACATGGTTCTGCGAAGGGAAGAGTGAAAGGGAAGGCTACCAGGGCTTGACAAGAGGGAATCAGAGAAAGGGATGAGAGAAATGGGAAGACAGGCATGTAACGAGCAAGTGAAAGGACGAGGAGAGGGGAGACAGGAAGCACATGGCACAACACAGAGGAAAAAGGAAAGCAGAGGGCTAAAGGACAGTCGAAAAGGAGACAAAGGAGAACAAAACCAAACTTCAGCAGCCACCTCAGAATGATGGGAAGACGTTTTGCTTTGTTGGGACTGGTACTTAACAGCATGGACCAAATTTACTTGCAGTGTGAAATGTCAGGAGACACGACACGAGGGCTGAATTCGGCTGGCGCTGTGGCCTTGCCGACAGGGCAGATCATACCGAACACAGAAGTCTCCCACAAGGGCAGGGTCTTGCACCTCGGCCCATGGCAGCCGCGGCTCCCTTACACCTGTACAGCAAAGGCAGGGCAGCCAGGTCGAAAGTACAGTGAAACACACGCTGTGTACTGCTGGGTTGCCAGGTATCAGTTTTCTTAAGCTGGGCATCTGTTCGTTAGCTGCCACGGGATTTTAATGATGTGACAAAGTCCTTGTAGTAATCAAATAGTGCTAGGAGCTGTGAACGCACCAGGAGACGCTAGGTCAGCCAGGAAGGGGAAAATGAGAGAAGCACGTGACAGAAATCAATAACAGTAAGATAATCTTAGCAGAGGCCTGTATATGGAAAACAATGCAAATGATTTCTCATTTCTCCTCATACCTTACAAGAAGTCTCTGAAAAGGCATATCAATACAATTAAATTGGGATTCCTGATTTTTCTCATTAATAAGTCAACAATTTTTCACAAACTTATTTGAGTTATAAACATTTATGTCCCACCAGAAGGGAGGTAGAACATTCCTCAATATTTCTTGGTTTCTGGAACTGTGTGGAGCATGCTTTAGACAGTCTACATTTGCAGTTAAAGCACGCTATAATGCTAGCACAACCATTCAATAACAGTTTCAAACAGATATATAAATAAACAATGAAGTCAGAAATATCAACCTGCGTATTAATAAATTTTGTTTCCATTTTCTTTTGTAAGGATTTCAAGTCCTCATCAAGTTCAATGAGACTGAAGGTAAATACATACTTAAATGGTTGGCTAAATTGGCATTGAAGTCATTATGAAAATTATTTTTAAATTCTAAATTCTTAAAAGATTTTTTTTTTTTAAATCAGTAAAGCACAATGTACTCTACCTAGCTTCCAGATTTTAATTCTGGTTAGAAATATACTTCAAAGGAGAGATAAAATGCATAAGACAAAAATTATAAAAGACTTTTACAGCAATGGACCAGTGAAAAAGAATGCACATTTTTGTTCTTTAGAGTTTCTATTCAGCTACAATAAAAACACATAAAACAAATAGCTGAAAAAATTCAATACGGATGAAGATTTGTCAATAAATCTCCCATACTAATCAAAAGAGAATAAAAGAGAGCATTTAGAAGAAATCTGACTCAACCCAAAAGCACAGAAAAAACCCAAGGTGAAAGCCAAGGCATAGCACAAGTATCTGCAGAAAGCAGCAGGAAGGCTCGTTCATCTACATTTGATCCTGACCAATAGATAAGGATCAGCTGCGAAGACAGAAGGTAACCTGGGTGAAGGTGATCATGAAATGATCCAGTGTCAAAACTCTACAGAAGGAAGTAAGAAGAATATAAAAGTAGAAACAATGGACTAGGAAGAAAAATTTCTATAAAGACAGAACACTGATAGCTAAATTCCTGGAGCAGGTCACAGGGGAACAAGTGTGAGGTAAAAGGAGTTAAAGGGAGCTGGTAGTTAACTTAAAGAAACAATACTAACCACACATACAATATATCCTAGCACAGAGCTAGAAGGGGTATTAAAGACTCAGCTAAAGAAAGAGCTCTTCATTGAAATACAAGAAGGAAATGCACAGTAAGGAGAAAGTAGGGGATTTACAAAAGGCAAGTATAAAAAATAAATTGAACAATGAAGAACAGAAGGTATAAAATGAGACAGATCTACCAAGAAATGTCAAGAGCTACAAAAAACATTCCACAAGTACATTAGCAGTAAATCTAGGAAAAGAAAAATTGTTAATCTACTCTTCAACAGATGGAAATCTATTGACAGATAATTCAAGAAGGCCAGAAGCAGTCGATGTATTTTTTGTACCAGTCTTCATTAGAAAAATCAGTGGCAGAGAGATGGCTAATAGCCTAAGTGGTAGAGTGAAAGGAGTAAATCTCAGCCTGAAAAAAACTCAAGATAACAGATGAGAAAATATTACGTAAATTAGCCATCTTCAGATTGGCTGGGTTTGTAGAATTTCATGCAGGAAACTTGAAGAGCTTGAAGAAACTTAGATGGCTGCAGCCATCTCAGAACTATCAGCAGCCACCTCTGACAACTCTTGGGGACTAAGGAAGGCAGCAGAAGATGGAAAAATGTGAAAAGGAGGGACTGAAAAATTACAGACGTGTCAGCTTAACTTGTCTCCCTAGACAAAGTCCATTTGTAAGCACCTGGAAAAGAACAGGGAGATGAGTCACATGTGACGTATATTAATCAAGAACAAATCATGCCACGCTGATCTCATTTCTTTCCATGAACGGGTAGCAACACTGTTAGATTAGGGAAGAAACAGTAGATTTTCAACCCTTTACTTTACTAAGGCTTTGGCACCGTTTCATAAGATGTTCTCTTCTGTGAAGGGCAGATGAAATTCTTACAAAATAGGTGCAAAGCCAACTAGAAAAGTATATTTTGAAAGCAATTACCAAAATATTAAATATTAACATGGGATAAAGTAGAATGTACACTGATTGATTCTGCAGGAGACTTCAGAATGCAAGGGACTGCATGTATATTGGAGAATAAGTTTACAATTTGATACAGTTTTGACACTGGTCTGAAAAAAATACGATGCTGTTGTGCAACACAGCGTTGCCTACTTTTCTAAAGCAGACAGAATCAGTTACCTAGAGACAGGGTAGGGAACAAGTGTCTTAGCGCAGTTCCACAGAAAAAGAAATAAGGTTTATAATAGATGTTAAACAGAACTGAGTAAGCAATGCCATACTTGTGTGAAAGCAACAAATACTGTACTGGGATGTAGTAACAAATTAGATACATAATGCAGTTCTGCTTTAGTCAGCCTAGATAAGACCTAAGCTAAAGCACCATGGCTCATTTGCCCATTTTACTTCAAAAGCATCTAAAGCGACTGGACAGAATTTAGAGGACAGCAACCAGAATAATCAGAAAGCACAACATGAATAATCAAAGTCATTCAGTTCAAGAAAAGGCAAGTCTTAGCAGAAGTGTGATTAAAAAGTTTTCGGATATAAAAAGCGTTTGAAAAGAAGAATGAAGTGACCTACTCCATCATGCAGAGATCAGGAAATAAAAGAGTTGAAATTGCTGTAAGAAAGATTCAGGTTAGACATCAGCGAAGCTTTTCCAACAGCATGAACACTAAATACTGGCACAGATCGCCAGGGAGCTGTGGTTCCTCCATTTTCGGGGGCTTAGGAGGATACGTAAGGTATTTGTCAGGAGTGACACAACGATAGTGAATTGTGCACGTGGCTCAGGGATGGACTAGGTGCTTTCCTGAAGTACCTTTTAGCCTCACCGTGTGGCACTGTGCAGTTTTCGAGGACACCTTCACACGTCTAAAATTAGTTCAACCACAAGGTGGTGCTTAAAGAGAGGATCAGTAACACAACCCTCAGAACAGCAAGCCCGGACTCGAGAAAGCAAGGCAGGCAGTCCTACTGAGGAACAACGTCATTGCCATCCAAAAGACACGCTCAACGAAGAGTGTCCCCCGAAGTTACAGCCTTTCAAAGCTACTGCAGTGAATTCTGGCTGCCCTAGCAATGAGATGAAATGCAACAAATAGAAGCATGGGGCTTGCCCGAGTTTGCTATAGAAGGGCAAGTCATGGTTCAAAGGCAGAGAAATGTCACGTCAATTAGTTAACGGGAGAGATGGTGTTCCTGCAATAACCTCCTGTCAGAAAAAAAATGGATTCTGTAAGGGATCGTATCTTAGGGTAATAGTCACAACTCGGATGAAGTCCAAGAAATGTTTTTTACGTCGTCACAGTCTTCGTTCTCCCGGTAGGGGATGCTTAGAAAGCACTTAGAAAGAAAGAAGTAGCTCTGCCTATAGAACAGCAGAGAGTGAGTAGAGTGTTTAATTACCTTCTTAACACATTCTGGTATCTTTGAAGAATTGATGTGACTAAAGTACATACATGTTGCATGGAGCTGTATGACTGCAGCTACTTGATGATCACATTTTTCAGGA